AGCTAAAGTCTAAGGGTGCATTAGGGCTGATTTAGAAAGCTGTATTTTGTCACATGATGCTTTTATTTTGTAGAAACACCAACCAAAGCTTTAGGCTTTAAATTGAAGTTCTTATCAGGATTATAAATATCTCTGCTCAGTCAGATAGAACTGGTAAATTGTGTTGCTGCTGTGGAACAATAGTAACACAATTACCCTGTCCTGGATCAGTGTGGTGTTTATTATTATACTGCCTTAGTGTCTGGTTCAATGTAGAACCTCTGGACTGTGAGCCCCTGACCTGGGGTGGCTCAGATAGGGTGCACATGTTTGATTTGTTCCACCGTCACGTGATCTTCATAATACCTTAATGTTATTACAGTCCTGGAATGCCAAAAACGTCCTGCCTGGAATAACTTTAAATATATAATAAAAAAACAGTGCAGCTTAGCTCCTGTAGTCTGTCATTGGTCATTGGTTCATTACCTTTGTCAGCTGGGGATAATACACCAGGATGTGGGAGATGGTTATATAAAGAGCCATTAGGATGAGTGAAGCAAAGACGGAGAAGAGTGCGATGCCAGAGAGCACACACAGTAAACTCATGCCTCCCAGGAACAACACCGTCACTGGAGGAAGTGAGGGGAAAAAAACCAAAAGTTTGTCTCTGACACTGGTGTGGAAACAATCAGGAAAAATGTCAGCGTTGACCTGTGCACACCCACCTTCAACAAACACAAAGCCCACGGCTGATATGACCATGGTGACAAGTGCAAAGATGAGGAAGAGACCCACAGGTAGAGCAGCCATGGCACTGAAGACCATCACTGTCAGGGCGACCAACGGATGGCTGCCCAGGTACTGGCCCACGCTGGTGTTCATCAGCTGTGATACCTGTGAGGACGAGGCTCTCTGAGCGGACGGACGGCAAAAAGGCGCAGCTGAATTTTACCAACAACTTACCTGTGGGTGTGGGTCATCAAAAGTACTTTTTATCTGCGTGGTCCATCTCCCCACCTGCTGCTGCCAGTCTCCCACAGAACTCCTGTCCTCTGTCTCCATGCTGCTCCAAAGGAAACACAAACATCCATTTAAACTGCCCAGATCTCAGCGCTCTGTTAATCTGGTAGTAACCATTGCACAACTGGCTAATGATCATTAAATTCATACTTTCATTAACTTCACCTAAAAGAAGTTTTTTTTAAATGATAAAACTTAGTTAGTTTCTTAACTACAAACCTCAAAGTTCTCCGGTTCGATCCACCGATCTCAGTCTCTGAAACTCCGTCCTGGAGTTTTCTTTTAAAACACCAGAAACAACAACACTCCTGTTCTTCCGTAGAACACACCCCTTCTTTTCTCCTTCCTCCTTCTCCTCCTCCTCCTGCGTCTCTTTATTCTTCCTCTTCTGCATTTCTCCCGGACACCTCCCAAAGGGTGTGTAGTCACTTTGCTGCCGTCTATCGCCCAATGAACACATTGCAGCGCCACGATTGCTTCCCTTCATCGTCGGATCCGTTGATGTTCATTCATGTGAAGTTACATTTTATATTTTATCTTTATATTTACAGGTTCATAAATAAAATGTCCGCTAAATGTCCAAAGATGGCTGTCAAGTGTTTAATGTTTAGCGTTAGCCTCTGGTTCTCTTCATTGGTTTTAAATACTAATTCGTAGAAAAGGAAGACGCTTTAATGTACAATATTTTCCTTTGAATTAAAGTGTCTTTACTCATAGTTTGGTTTGAACTCTTCAAGAGAAATCCTGCATTTGAAAAATCTGATTTACTTCTACTGTGCTTAGGATAAGTAAATTCAACACGTTACTTTGCTCCAATATTAATATTTCTGTTCAGAAGTGAATTCCAGTTCCAATTCCATGTACACATTAACATAGTGATTAGTACTAGGTTTTATGTAGTATTGTACAAGGTGTTGGGTCATTATTGCAGAAAAACGTTTGACTTGTAAAAAATAAATACACAAACTAAATTCATTAATTGTTTAATTTCGCTTGTTTCAGCCGGATCACTGCAGTAATTCTCCAGGAGCCCAACAGAGGGCGTTCCTAGCTCAGATCCTGGTTGTCGGAATGAGACAGTTCCTTCAAAGTAATGACAGCTTTTTGCCTTTCGGCTTTTTTGCTATTACACATCAAGAACACAGACATTTCTCTGTGACGACCAGGAGTGATCAGAATATAGAATGGCCGAACCTCCACACCTTCCCTGATTACTTCCTGCGGCAAAGACACCGACACGGGCTCTCGCCGTCACCTCTCACAAATTAAGTTTATCCTTATGAGATTTGAGGATAGCTTCAGATATATGTGAGTATCACAGCAGAACTGGGAGAGAAGAAAACATCAAGATGAGTAATGGACATTAGAGGGAGGAGGGGGTAGGGGTAGGGGTGGACCCTAGGGACCAGTGATGACAACTCATTTGGACCCTTTATTGCTGCGAGCCTTTTTAATTAATCACTCTCTTATGTATCGAGTACAGGCAGAGAATTTGGCGAGGCAGAGAGGCTGCATTCACCTCCCCAGACTACGCAACACAACAAACCCAGTGAACCAGGACTGACAAGGCACCGAGCTACGTACTTATTTGTTGGGATACAAACACAACAAGGAATTTCATGTTATTAACCTGCAGCGTTTTAGCTGCTGCTGCTACTGCTGCTCTCATTGCGTCATCTCTGACTGCAGGGTCAGACGTCTGCTGGCTGCTCCACTGACCGCTCAGGGCTGCTTGGACATTAAATGTTCATCCAGTCTCATCAGCTGAAAGATTCGGTTTCTGTCGGAGCAGCAGAAACATTGGGTTTTGAACAGTCAGACTGCAGTTTGTCGACTGTCACGTGCCGAGCTGCAAATTGCAGCCAAAATGTGACTGATGGGCTGTCATTAAATTCTTACTTGCCTCCACTGATTGTGTGAACTAATCAAAGTCAGAGTGGTCACTGCTGTGGTCTCCACTCACTGACACAGTTCTGCACATCCATCCCTCACTGACAGCCGTCGTCAAAGGTCGGCGGTGGTCCGGGAGAGAAATGAGTGGGGTCTTTTCTTATTTTGGCCTGTCACAGTAAATGCCCCTGCTGCTCCATCACAGCTCCCTCTCACTCACTCCTGACTTCGTTCACCTCTCTGTGTCGCTGCCCAGGCAGTGTTTGGCCAACAGCTGAGAACCAGGGGGAGAACCAAATGTCTTTGCCAGATGAAGGGGTCGTTTCCAGCTCTGTCCTGTAACTGGGAGAGTGAGAGGCTCAAAGAGCGCTCCCCGGTGGGCTGTAAAGGCCACTGTGGAGGAGGGAGTCACAGCCCATACACACACACCCACATGCACTGTTTTTTGTATTTTTGAGCACATCACACAAATCCCACCCTCACCCCTCAACCCAGTGCACTTTAAATTGTGGGGCGTGCCCCAGCAGTGGGGAACAGGTCACGGCAGGTGGGGTGGACAAATGGGAGGACATTTTCAAGGTTCTTTTTTTTATAGATTTATAGATTTTAATTCAATATAAAATATGACGTTACATTATTGTTGGGGTAACATGGGTAAGGGGTAGGGAGTGTCCATGTCCATAAACCACCACTGCAGTGTCCTCTTCTGTCTGTGTCTCTGGGGTTAATTAGTTTCACCCGCCTCACCTGTGTCCTGTGGTTCCCTGGTAATCAGTTCTGACTCGTCTCACCTGGTGTCCTGGGTACATAAACCTCATTCTCCCTCACTTAGTCCTCTTGTTGTTTGTGGCTGTTGTCTGTTACTTGTTGTGTTGTCTATTGTGTTGCCTATTGTTCTCTTTTGAAACCAGTGTTTGGACACTGAGCCATTTTTTAATTTTCTTTAACATCTATCTTTAATTCTGTCTCTGTGTTCCGCTGATGTTGTTTTGTAATCCATTTTATTATGAACCACGATTAAATTTGCAGTATATAATTACTGTTTCCCTGCTCTGTTAAATTGACGAGGCGTCGCTGCAGTACACAGCAGAGAGGAAATGTTTTCAGCGGTTGGGTCAGTGAGTTTACAGCGTGAGAAACGACACCTGTAAGAAAAATGGATGCAAACAGCCAAATGTTTTTGCAGTGGGATGTTTTATATTCAGTCTCCAGCCCAGCTGTGGTGTGATGGATTGCTGTGGCTGCAGTTTTGTTCCTAAGACTTGAGTAAGAGAGTGGTGTCCAGTAAAAGCTGCTGAGGAGTGAGTGACAGCTGTGGAGATAAAGGAGGCTCTGGTGGAGGTCTTTATGTGAAGACATTTATAATTTACTAAACCTTTGTGGCTGAAGAGAAAGAAAGACAAGGAGGGAAGATGAATAGAGGTGACATCAGGAGCTAAGAACAGGAGGGTTGTCAGTCTCATTAAAACCTGTGACGGCGGCGTTGTGTTCTCCATCACTCATCTTAGAAAAACCAGGGTGAATCTTTCATGTCGCTGTGTCATCATGGCAGCTGCTGGATTTACATCAGTTTTCCTTCTGATTTTTTTTTTTCCTCTCCAGTTGCTGCTTAGCTGTCGTTCTAGGACACGTGTGTCAAACTCAGGCCCGGGGTCCAAATCTCGGCCGCAGTGTAATTTAATTTGGCCTGTGAGATCATATCAAATGTGTAGTGGAGTTGGCCTGCCAATATATAACTGACTATATACTGACAGGATTTGTATTAGTGATGTATGTTAAAGCACATACATTTTGGTTTTTTATTGTTGGCCTGTGGGGGAAAAAATACATTAAAAAGAACTCAAAAGGCTACAGATAGAAACAAATATTGTTTTATTTTTAAATGTAACTTCTCATGTGTTTATAACATTAACCTTCAGTTGTTCCAGATTCAGTGTTTACGCAAAACTTCCATATGACAGAATTCTGTTATATATCTAGAGAGAAGGGAAAACATTCACAATTAATGTCAATTTATCAATTTAATTTTGGCCCACTGTGAATTTGAATTTGACACCCTTGTTGTGACATCACATCAGTGGTCAGTCACACACACACGAACACAGCATCTCAAATGTGCGCGAGATGGCGAAACCACGTGCCCACTTCCGGTGTCAACTTCACAGGTGACCTTTTGTTTCAGCCCTTGTTTGTCTGGTGGACTGTTTGATGCTGTAAACAGCCTGAATTAAGCATTACTCCTACATCAAGGTGGTGTGGTTTAGCAGATGAAAGCATTAGGGCTGCACAGTGGGTAATAGATGACACAGGTGGGCATTCACAGAGAGAGGGGGCGGGGCAGCTGGGGAGAATGACTGGGTGTGTGATGAAAGGGGGGATTAGCATGGATTCATCATCACAGCAGAGCCAGGAGTGGTTCTCTGCCACTGTCAGGAGAGAAACCCAGCGGGTTAATAAAGTAAAGCAGCACAAAATCAGAAGGAGCTTTGTCAGCACATCCTCAGGCACCCGGAACCTTCTGACAAATGTGTTTGAGGCAGATAGATTGGTATTCATTCCATTATCTAGAATTCCATTCCAAGAATCTAGAAAATTAAAACAAAATCTAAAATGAATCCAGTTCAGTTATTTAATCCAGCTAAGCCGAATGATTAGTTTAGCTGAATCCTAGCTAGTAGCTATTTTAAAATATATATCTTCAGTGAACTGGAGGATCAGAGTAGTACCAGTGTACTCTTCTAATGACAATAGTAGATACGACCACATTCGTGCAGTGTAGCACCCCCTGCAGGGGAGGAAGACAAGTTAATTTGCACAAGAAGTACAGTATGCAAACGTTGTAAAAAGGTTCTGTAATAACAAACCAAGTAGAGTTTCTAAGTTATACTTTCTTTAGCAAAGACTATAATTAAAAAGACCTCTGTGTTTTGATCCTGTTTGGATCTTGGATCTCTAAATTCTTTGTTATTTTCTCCCTAATTTTATAAAAAACAATTTCACAAACTCATCCATGTCGTAGACACGACCCTTTCTTCTTCTCCCTGACATTAGAGCCACGTCTCTTTGATGAAGCTTCAGAACTGTGCAGAACAACACAACAGTTTGGTGATGTGTTAATTGGCTTCTGAGGAGCTGTGTGTGTGTGTGTGTGTGTGTGTGTTTTGATGAGACGGACGTGAGAGATGCATCTGTGGATGTAACCAGAGGAATTTACGCAGTAGTTAGTTGAGTTTGAGGAGTGCGTGATACATGGAGGTGTGTGTGTTTGTGTGTACACTATGCTCTTTTTCTCACGTCTTGCAATGACAGGGACAAAGTGTCAGCTGTGTAAGTGCTGCCGTCAAGACTTTAATTGGCTACACACACACACACACAGCTGGATTCATCCTCCTCGTCTTGCTCTGTTGCCGTGGAACAACAAAGCTCAGTTTGTCTCTGTAAAGAACAGTGTAACTGTCATCACACCCACACGTGGACCAACTCTCACCTCCTGTGAATGGACGTGGAACAGGACTCAGGTTCAACTGGTTACCGTCCAGGACAAGGAACACCGCAGACACCGAAATGTGATTGGTATTGAAATTGGAAATGTAATAAGTGCAGTTTTCTGATCGGACCTGACTGTGTTCATTAACCCTTACACTGAGACTAATTAACATTTTTGCGCATCCTTTTTCCAACAAAGGAGAATTCTCTCTTGTTGCTGTGTAAACTACGCAACTTTCAAAACGTAATCTTTTGGGATCAGCCGTCGTTAATGAGCTCCTGCTTGTCGCAGCTCACCACGCAGGAGACACACTCTACCTACGGCTGCCACTGTGTGCCGTCCCTGTGAGAAATCAACCTTTTTAAAATCAACCAAAATCTAATTAACTTTTTTTTTTACCCCTCGTTAGCTTTCAAACTGAGAATTTAGTTAAAAACTAACATCAGCTTTTATTGTTAATAAAGCATTTGAACAAAGACCTCCCTCTGGTGTGAACCCCCTAACAATATGTAAACAACAAACTTGTTAGTTTTGTATTGAACCACTGAAGGAACAAAGACACATCTGTCTGATTACTCAGAGATACTTTATTTTTTTGATCAAAAATATTGATAATGACCCTTATTTTTTGTGTACTTTCTCACAGTACATTAATACATACTCTTTACACAATCAGTACATTCATTAGAAGGAAAATATTGGCAAGCCTATTAATAAACACTCCAGAACAACCAGGAAACACAGTTTTAAAACACTGCCATGAAGAGAGTTCAAAGTCTATGAAGAAAAGAAAGAAAATCAGTAGAAAATCACAACAGATAAAATTCTGCCTGAAGCATTTTTTTTTACATTCATGGATATATTTTTAAGTACTGTGCTATATGTAAATATATTCATCAGGACTGAGTATAAATACATATTTGATTTCATACAATACAGGTCGTTGGCAAAAAACACATGTTTAAAGCTTCTCTCTGTCTAACGAGGGGTTTGTATACACACACACACACACACACACTCACACACGCACACACAATTGCATTCCCTCTTTTTGTTACCCTGACATTAATTTTCATCATCGTTAACGACCTATAGCCTTAATTAACCATGTCATTTTCACAGACCCTATAAAAGAAATGAACGTCATCGTTGTCATGGCAACCATTTTTGGCAGAACAAGTAACTAGTAACCAACTGCTGGTTAATTAAGCCATTACTGTATGTGATGAACCAGATAATTAATACCACTATTTTGCTAGCTCTTTTGTATTTAGCTTGAGCTAGTTGTTAGCATCTTTTTGGTGATCCATCACACTCCTGCTCATGGTCATGGTTCTGTGCTTTTTTAACCTAACCATTCACACAATTGACTGTGATTCTTCGACAGGATTTCTGTTTTATTAATTAAGTGTAATCATTTAATTTAAGTTATTTACAAAAACCAGCACAGCGGCACTTCCAGCACACTGTTCCTCCAAAGATTGCTGGGAACCAGATGGAGCATCCATTTCTTGATCTAGGGTCTGTGCTTTCAACCATCAAACAGCCCTTTGTGGACAGAGCTTGTGGAAATGTTCTAATAGCAGTGACTTCAGAACTAAATGTGTCCACGTAATCAAAGACAGACAAGTACACAAACACCCTGTAGAGCCGAGGCCAGCAGAGGGAGGTAGAGAGGAAAACTGGGCAAAAAGATAAAAACGTAACAGGAGAAAATAAAATATTTTCCTGTGGTGGATTGATGTTTGGTAACCTTTTAAAAATCAGATGACAGGCAAACTTAAAAGACTGAGTAAATCATACACACACACACACACACACCGACACACACACTCTGGCAAGCGTCCCCTCACGTGCAGTAGGATAAGACACCTGCATGTGACGCCCCTCCACTGAACCCTCTACTTTGGTTTCCCAGCATGCCTGCCCTGTTCCCTGGAGGCAGCAGGAGAGAGGCAGCAGTTGTCTCACAAATGTCACATTAACATGGCTGAAACACTGGACGGGGGTTAACAAGAAAAATGAATGCCATGGCAACAGTGATCTGGAATGAGCTCCTCCAGCTGAAGCCAAAAACCGGTTTGTAATGATGTGACATTCTTAATGACCGCAGTCCTGACCATCAGACATCAGTCAGCCGCATGTCCAAGAACATCAACAGTTTTGACTGCTTTTACACTAAATCAAATGAAGTTGATGTACATTTGGTGAAGGAGCCCGGTGATTATTGATCATCGACTTTTCATCTCCATCAAATAACACTTGGCTGATTAACAAACCCCGCCCTCCTCACGTGTATGGATCAATCTTCAGATGTAAAGGGATGGAGTGCAGCAATATTCTTAGTATGCACATGTAGCACAAAACACTTAGTGGGGGGGGGGGGTGGCAACTGGCACTCCCTCATCCACTTAGCAGTCCTGAAGAAAATCAATTTGTGTGGAACAAAGAAATGGGAATTGAGAGTGGAGCTGTGGCTGTGGAGTAATGCCCCATGGACACAGCTGAACGGGGGGAGTTTGGGAGGAGACCCCGGTTGATTTTTTACGTGCAAAGTGCGATATAACATAAACTAACATCTGCAAACCACCTTATGGGCAGATTTTGCCATAAATAATAAGGAACCTGTGTTAGCATTCAGCAGCGCCAGTCGTCAGCAGGTGTGGGCCCTCGAACAGAGATTTTATGTGGCCCTGACTTGAATGTGCATTATTTATGTGCCTCCAGGATCATAAGACAGATCTAATAAATCATACAGGACCAACATTTAATTCTTCTCACTGCCCAGTGACTGAGAAATAGGTCTGTAGTCTGTGGAAACACTCAGTTAGCTCGTCCTAATTTGCCCCAGTGTTATCTCACTTCACATGCACCAGGAGCTGCAGACTGGGTGGCATGCATTCAAATATTATGCCATTTGTTTTGTTTGAAGTAAATTTAATTAAAAAAAACCGATGCACATTTGTATGCATACCACAAACCAGTGTTTCCCAAACTTCTTTTCTGGGGACACATATTTTAAAAGTCACAAACCTTCGCCACCCAAGTCAATAGACATTATTCATAAACTCCTGGGAAACATGATGCGAAACGACCCAAAAAATAAAGACTATATTTGAGCTAGGCCATAAAAGACTGGCCTCAAGTTCTAGCCTCGTGTTTTTTCACTTTTCACTGCACTTTTTGTGACCTATTGAAAAGAAAGAAGTAAAGATGCCCCTACTGGCCAGAAGCAGTATAACAGACAAACATTTTTTCACAACTTTAAAATAAATATTAGACAGGACATCCACCTATTTATCTTGGAAGATAATTCCATCACAGATACAGTGTCTTCTGTGTCTGCAGGTCTAAAACACACACTGGTGAAAAAAGGGACAGATTTAAGACCTACGATGAATAACTTGATTTTATAACAGCTTTAAATCATCTCATCTCCACTGAAAGGATATAAAAACTAAATGTTCATTCTCTTTATATTTATGTTATTCTAAATTGAGATTTTCCATCTAGGTTCCAAAAAGTCACATCATGGGTCATGGTTTCTACTTCATCTCTGTAAGGACGTAAAGATCCAAACCAAATGGTTTTCTATTTAAAGGCTTTGTTTTTCTTTTCATTTGCAGGGATTTTATCATTTGTTATTCATGCAGTACTTTGATATAAAAACGGACTTAGATTTGCACTGCTGCCATTATCGGTAAATGTGATATTTATGCTAATATAGTTCAGTTTATTGGAAACTGTAATGTTCAAACACACTCCTTTATATTTTTCTGTAATAACGTTGGTCTGACTCACGCTAAAATTAGCCGTCAAACAAGACAAAGCTGCAGCGATTCTCTCTCAGTGCCACATTGTATTTGGGTGTCAAACTAAACGTTTGGACTTCACTGGCTGTGACAGATGGAGCTGCAATTTATCAGATTTGGAACATTTGTCATTATCTGTCTGAAACCTCCAGGCAGGTATTAGCCGACAGAGAACCTGTCCTCAGGCGCCAACTATTCTTGGATGAAAGAAGACAATCTGTGCAGAATCCAGTGTCTGCAGAGGAATGTGCAGTGATTCTAATGTCTTAAAGGGAAATATGTACAGTACAACATATTTTGCTCTGCTGCTCACGTACTTGTGTGGCCCTGAGACCAAATGGACTGTTGCATTATGGGAAAGCTTTGGTAAAATGTTTGTCTTTTCCTCTCCACCTCTCTCGTCCTCCTTGGTTTCCAGAAAGCTAAAGGGTTAAAGATACATGTTCCTCTACATTCTTTGACATCACCAAGCTAATGGCTAACAGTAGGTCATCATTAACAGTTGATACAGGAGCGTCTACTTTTAGCAAAAGTGTCCCATTTAAAAATGCGATGAGTCGATTGATGACGTCACAGAAACTCTTTCATCAGTTACAGTCAGGTCTACTGTGAGTCAACATTGAGCACCTACTCATTCTACAGCCACTTCACTGTGTGGTCAGTTGGTGCTGGACAACCAGTGCAGTCTTGTACGCAGCACACACAGCGTACAGTTGAGGGGGGGGGGATGGTGGAGGGGGTTGGTCTTGTTTTATAAAGCCATTTATCCGGCCTTGGAGACTCCTCTGCATATTAAATGGGAAATTACAGCGCTGTTTAACTTTGCTTGGGAGACAAGTGGGTACTACAGGCAGCCGACACGCTGTCAGTGGTTCTGCCTGAGTGGATCACCTTATTCAGCTGAGGTGTTTAATGCCCAGACGCCGACTGTATCTCTGCCATGTCGAAACGACTCCCGGAGGAGCAGAGACGCAGCTGTTCAAATCGCCTCCACGTTTGGCTGGCTCTGCTGCCAAACCACTTGATGCTTCACCAAGGATTCCTCTAATTGTCAGTTTAGACCATGGCACTGATTCACAAGGTGGCTCATAAAGTCAGTGATGGATGTGTGTGATAACAGTTTTATCAGTCACTGACATGAGCTGCTCTCAGTCTACATTAGCTCCATTTTTTTTGCAAAGAGGAAATATTCACTCTCTATTTGATGCTGGTCACTGCTTTGTGAATAATTTATTTGACATGTCAGTTCTGCCAAACACACGTGTGCAGTTGGCTCCTCCATCTTACCAGCCAGTCACTTTGTTGTAAAAGCTAGCTCTGTAGCTTCCAGTCGTGTTGACATTTCAGAGCGTCAAAGAGTCCCACGTGGCCAACGCTGGTCACAACAGAGACAAATCCTAAAATATGTCCCCCTTAGGACTGAGGTGGGGGGGTAGCTGCTGGTGGCTAAGAGACTCAGTTGGAAATACAGACTGGCTTTCCATTTTTGTCGTACTGGTATACAAACATTTTGATACAGTGGGAGTTGGCTGGTGAGATCCAGGGACTGCTCGTGATGGAGAAGTTGTGGCTGGCGTAGAACGGTGCCGCTTGCTTGCGGCAGTGGACCAGCGCTCTGAGCACGTTGGCCGCCATGCCCCTGAAACGCTTGCTTATGAAACAATACAGGAAGAAGTTGACGCCCGTGTTGAGCAACGCTAGCATGTTTGCCAGATCGGTGAGTGTGTGCAGCAGCCGCCCGGCATCTTGAGTGGCCGGAGGAGGGGAGTAGAAGTGGTAGAGGATGATGAGGGTGCGGGGCGCCCACAGCACTGCAAAAATGGACGTGATAGCGAGGAGGATGGCGGTGGTTTTGCCGGTGGAGTAACCACGGAGGCGAAAACAGTTGCGGCGTCTACGTAGCTTGCGCACGATGACAGCGTTGAGGGAGAAGAAGATGGTGCAGGGGAGCAGGTAGACGGTGGTGCAGTGAGCCCACACCAGAACGTGCTGGGCCACGGTCCTTCTGCTGCCCTCCCCTGCGTCTGTGCCACCGCTGCCACCGCTGCCCATCCCTGGCAGACTGTGCCACAGCTCAGGCCACCAATAATAAGGAGCTGCAGACAGCAAACAGCACACGTACACCGCAAATATCACCCTGCGCGTGCGGGCGGGATAGGAGACCGTGTGGTAGCGCAGTGGGTGGCAGACGGCGATGTAGCGGTCGATGGTCAAAGGCACGGTGATCCAGATTGAGGTGTGAATGGAGGAGAACTCCAGCACCTGCACTGCACTGTTTAAGGACGGCGGCAAAGGCATGGCCAAGATGAAGTCTTCCAAAATGAAGTCAACAAAAACAATCAGGAGTAGAACCAGAATGTCGGCGGCTGCCAGAGCCAGGAGATAGTTGTAGGAGGATTTCTGACGACGCAGCACCAGCTGGGACAGGATAACCACTGTCAGGATGTTGGCTGTTAGTGGGGTGAAAGGGCGATGGTGAAGGAAGTGTGGAGGTGATTGAGTAGTTGGATGGAGGAAATAGAGAAGTAATGGCAAAAGAAGAAAGATGAGGCGTGAGCACAGGTTATGGCAGGGAAGGAAACAGAAAAATCCGAGTTAGTCGACAGATTATTAACAAAGGTCAACATTAGATAAACAGGTGAAAGCAGAAGAGATGCAACAGAGGAGACACATAATGTACTGCACACACAGTACTGTACTGCACACCTGTCTATACAACATGTACAAAAAGAAATCACCACAAATCAGCAGCAGTGCCGTGGACTTCACGGGTTTAGGAGTCTAAAAGCTGAACTCTCTTCACTCAAACTATTACTTCTGGTCCAATATAAGCAAAAAAAGACCTTTTATCATCACAAGTCATTTTCTCTAAGCCTCGGCGGCTCTTACACCCTGATAATCCCTCCCCTGTTTATGGCTCCTTCCCTTTTCTCCTTCATCTACACCTGCTGTGTAATTCTAACTGCACCTGCCTCTGCCTTTGGCCAACTTGTTATCTCTAATAAAGAGGCAAATTACAACAAAAACAGGGGAGCCTTGTGCAGCATCACAGCTTTGGCAAGTCCACTAATGTCTGTCACCCTGCCTCTGGCAATTTACTGCCTGAATCCAAACACAAGGACAACCCCACCTCCGCCTGTCTGTCTCTCTCTCTCTCATAGTCCTGGCATACCTTGTCAAAGCTTGTCCTCTGTGCTGAAGATTAAAAGTTTTTTATATATAAATATCTGTCTCACTGACTTGTCAACATAACAGATCAAATGTCCCAGGGTGGAGGCCACTGCTCCTTTGGCAGTTCTGTAGAAAAGAACACGGACACAAAGGCTTGGATGTAGCTGCTGCTGCATCCATAGAAATCACAAATGCTCCACGTCTGCATTAGTCAGGAGGAGCGCAGCGCCGTCCTTCTTACAAGGAAGAGCACTTCAAAAATTGATTTTAACACAAGGTCGTTTCTCATCTGTCTTCTCTTTCTTCTCTGATTCTGTTGGCGTGGTAACACTCTATGTTGTTCAGGTTCAACTGGTCTCCCGTATGGAGGGAACCGGACTACTTCACGAAAGCCTGCTTCAGGACTGTGTGTGTCTCCGTGTAGCCTGTTAGTGTTTGTTTGTGGTTGAAATGTTAGCTGTTAGCAAGTTAACAACTACACTTACACTGTACATACCATGCATTTAAGTTGTAGTGACAGAGAGCAACATGGCTAATGAATTTGTTGTTATGGAATTACTGGAACGCAGGCTGTGCTACGTTGTTTGGGCTCTTTGCACGTCTTGGGCGCGATATAAAAATATTGTATGAAAAAACCTCAAAAATGTTCTGTTCAAAAATAGGTCAAGGAAAGGAAGGAAAGGATGAAAAAAAAGATTGAATAATAAAGGCATTCCTTTCAAAATAGAATTATTTCTTTGAATTCTGGTGGATGACTTGGATCAGATTTTTATGTTTTCCTGATTTAGAAAAAACATTTTTTAATAAAACTTTTCATATTGTAGTTTTTCAATATGTCTTTTTGTCAAATTTAAATTGAACATATTTTGAAATTATATTATCTTTCTCTGGTGGATTCTAACTATTGTTGATTTGGTTGTTTTTGTCTTTGTTTCCTCACAAACAGACCACAATCCTGTCAGACACGACTGAGGGAACTTTTATTGAAGTCTTAAACACTTTGTATTCTCAGCCTTTGCCGTCCTCGTCATGTTTTACAGTAACTTTTATGCTTCATTACCAACTCTGACTCTGTCTCACGGCATAAAATGAGTCACTTCACACGCGCCGTGTTGGAATGCTGTCAGGTGGTGTTTAATACCATGATGACTTAAATCTAACAGATTTATATTTATTTAAAAGGTTAAACTCTCAGGAGGAATGAAGACGGAGGTGTTGATTAGAGGAGGTTTAGAGTGTGCTCACACTGAAGACAAGTCAGATGCACCACCTGACCAAACTAAGACCCGTAAATGTGAAGAGGTACACCATAATAAAATCAAGTGACAAATCTGAGGATTTAGACGACATTTAGCTCAAGAGGCAGCATTTGTTTGGAAAAATGAAACGTCTGTTGCAAGTACAACTGTCCTCACTACTTAATAGTGCCCTCTGTTGGGGAGTTGGGGAAGGTATTTGCCTGGTTTACGTAATATTTGTTTATTCATGTCATAGTCATGTTGTATTAAACCTTCAGTTAAATATTAAATACGATAACAGTTGCAAACCAGCATTTTTATGCGGAACACGCTGGTACAACACCGTCGTGTCCAATCTGTTCCATCACTGACATTAACGCTCTCGGCATCTGTCAGTGTTTACGTTCGTGCGTGTATCTGCACGGCGGTCTGCCGATGTGGTAATAGATCTGGGATTGGATTAAGTATGGCAACAAAGTCTGGTGGATCACACTTCACAGTCTCCACCACCATCAGCTGATTACAAATTACACGGTCGGCTCCAGATCACGACTGAAGATGTCCTTGCCAGACTGGGGGAAGTGCCTCAGAAGACACATGACCAACACGTGTCTGCACATGCATTCACAGATTATAATGAATGGGCCGGCCCAATAACAAAGCCTCTATCAATAACCCTAAATGACACTTCCAAACAGTTTAGTGGAGCCAGCGGGTCGATGCGTTCGTACCCACGGAGGTTGTTTCTCAGTCAACCACACCAGCCCAGGCAAAGTCCAACAAAATGTGCTGAAACTTGATTTATTCCATTATTGATTTTGCGGTTGCAGGTACTGACACACTGTTTCATCCTCATTTACTTTTGTTAAATGGTTGTCAGTTTGGGCTGTGATCACTGAGAAGCACGGATCAATCAGACTGTGAAAGGGCTGTGAAATCTGCTGTTCTCCTAAATCTTTGTCACATTTTTTTAATCCAGTAACTTGGTGACTCTGTGCAGGAGATTAAATAATGCAATTGTATATGACTGACATAAACAAAACTAACTTGTGTTTTTGTGATTAATATTCAATGTCTCTGACTATTACAGTCCATTTGATTCATGAGGGACAATAAAAAAAAACGTTTAAAACGAGTTGTCGTCCATATATATAAAAAAGACTAAAGGACTAAAACGACTTTGACAATAAAAAAACAAATTAGCATAGCTAGTTAGCATAGCTACTAAACACGAGCCGCTAACAGCAAATCTTAATTAAATCACTTAATTGAGAAGACGCTGAATAAAATGAGGCAAATGGGATTTACTGGAAGTTCACAGAGGTTTGAAGATTGAGATACGGAGATTGGAAATGTGCAGAGAAAAGAGAGCAAAAAAAAAATAATGATGGAATGATTGAGATGAAGCTGCCGGGCAGAAAGAAAAAGTTAAGAATCTAAGAGGAGATTCATGAACGTAATGAGAAAAGAATATGGAAATTGTTCCTTGTTGCAGTAAGAGAGAAAAGAGGAGAATAAATTGGAGGCAGATGATCCACTTTACTGACACCCCCCCCCTCCCCCCCCCCACAGGGTTACAGTGATAAAAGAATATAAAAAATATTGTATTATTTCCACATAATTACTTCACATTCATATTCCAGTTCATGGTCATCTCTTTTTAGTTTTTGTTTTTCTTGTTTCAGTCTCGTGACTGATTTTAAGAAGTCAAGGCGTTATTTCCTCAGAGGCTTCTTTATCTGGAGATTTAAAGTTTCTGGTTTGTCTGCGCCGTTACGGAAGTTAAATTCCAACTTTCTTTTCACAAATCCTAGACAATAGAAGACACCTTTGAAGAATGGTCTTTGTTTATCATACCGCTGTTCTTGGATTCTTCCTCTTTTCCTCTCCTCACACACTACTCAACACAGCAGAGTGACATGGAATGGGGAACAGTGTGCTACTAGCTGTCGCCTGGCCGAGTCTCGTTCTGTTAGGGCTCCCTCATGAGACGGGGGCCTTCCACAGACAAACAAAGAGAATCTGCAGCCAGCTTGACATTTCCATTTAGCTCTTTTCAGCCTGCACCAGGTCGCCCATTCAATTCAAGTGACTCCTGCTCAGCGTCGTCTCTGGGGCTGGGGATGGGCTCGCTTAGATTTGCAATCCACAGGTATGAGGTGGCACACGCTGGTCTCGTCTCAGTGGGGACAGACGAGCGCAGAGAGAAAACAGACGCACAGAGGACACACATGAGGCAGCAGAGCTTGCAAACACAGAGATTCTTCTTTGCACACCTGGATGCACACAGGTCCACGTGGAGACCTGGCCCACTTTTCTTTTTCTTTTTCTTTTCCATTCTCCTTATGCATGAAAATTAAGCGTGTCCTGCTGAGAGATGGCTACAGAACTTAGACTAATTTGCTGCGTTTGTCTGTTTGACCGCATTTGATGTTGTTTTGTTGCATTTTCCCCCACCCTCCGGCACCCGTCCCCATAACAAGCCACAGGGTTGTTGGTGTGTTACGCGGGAGGGGAGAGGGCAGAGCGAACTCCCCGAGGTGTACGACACGGCTGAGTCATCCCAACGGCAACAGGACGCCTGCGACAAACTACACTGCACCACTGAACCACTGAACCCATACAAACCAGGGGCAGAGGATGAAACACCTCCACCCACAGACAGAGTATCATTCCACAGACCCCCACACCTCCACCCACATTATATATATATATATATATATATATACTGTACTATATATATATAGTTTCTTTTGTTTGTTTTGTTTTTAAAATAAAATGAAAGCGAAGACTTTTTAATGTCACCCAGGGGAGATTCAGGTTTGGGTTAGAGAGGCAATAAAATACATTATAGAGGAACTCAGGAAGAAATGGATGGATGGTGGAAGTGTGGTCTGAGGAAGAAGGAGAGAGCAGGTGACGGAGACTGAATGAATGGGAAGATTAAAAGAAAAAGACAGAGAGGGAGGCGCAGAGGAGAGCGTCCAGGAGGTGGGAGGACAGAGAGAGAGGAGGATAGTATCAAAGCTCTTCAAAGGTCACATACACTTTGTTCCTGATGACAAACATTTCCCTTTCGTTTTCTCCGAGTGTCAGATCTGACATAAAGCAGGGACAATTATTTTTTTAAAGTCCAGAAGCCCCGTCTCTGAAGGCAAA